GAAGATGCTAAGTTTACCATCACCGGCTAGGATATATGACCTCCAAGTAGTGGACTTACTAAACGGATTACTTTTCATGTAGTTATCACTGTAAAACTTTATGCTATGACTTTTTAGTCTATTTGTACTATTTCTTGTCTATGATCTGCTGTTGTTGAAGTCATATGGGCCTAGAGTTAAAATTCAATCTTACTGGTGTAAGACCAACTCGACAACGATTGCGCACGAACTACTAAACCTATTTAGCTTAAAACTGTGTTTGGAATTGTGCAGTCTGTTAAGTACCTAAAAATTACTTTAAAAACTCAGTAACGTGCTTGATGATATGAGATGCTCAACCACATTTATCAGCGCCCATCAGGACTGTTTTTTGAAAGATTTTTTTTACAAATAAATATGATCCATTCTACATCAGTAGTTCTTTGCATCCGTGCCTTTCGACAAGCATACTCGAGAATCTAAGTACCGAACTGGACATGCATACTTAAGACCTCATTCAATGTTTTTGGTTTTTTATAGCAATTTTCCGGGATTCACTTTTGAGAACCTTGAACTTTGTTTTCCTTAAAAAAGGTTTTAAAATGATAATCCTCCCACTCCTGTTTCTGGAAAATTTCGAAGATAAAATGGGAGTTTTGTACATCGATCAGTTTACGGTACATACTCTTCCACTGCCCCATGAGAATCCCGCTAAGGTCTTTGTAGGCATTCGTACATTAGCCAGCAAGGAAGCAGAAAGGAAAAGCGACAAAGGCGAGGGAAACAAGGGCGGCTATTTTCGGTTTTTTAGTCGTCTTTGCGTGATCATGCTCAAAAAATATTCCCGACCGTAAACACCAGGACAGTGAGCCTGTGCCGCAGTGACAAAAATTTAGACCTAGCACTGTTGTACGTATGATCAAATAACTTATGCTTCAACACTAGATCCTCTATTCCGTTGCATGGTTAGGTGGTTGATATTAAGATACGGAACAAATAGACCACTCTTTCCGCTGATCCATATAAATATTTATGCACATACTGACATCCATATCCCCTGGCATCGTCGGACAACCCCTTCTCGAGACAGTTGTCCAAAATAGCCTATACTACGCACCGCTGTGGAGCTGTTGGCAGGGCTCGAGAAAGAACCCCAAGTCACAATGGAGCGGATGAGTTCCGTAATATGGTCGGTCTACGTTGTCAGTATACCCGATCGCAATCGACAGGACAACGAGCCTTTGACTCTCAGCGTTGGATTTCTGACCAACAGATTACGAGTTTGAACCACAGGTTTGCATACCTTAGGGATGGGTTTGAGTGGCGGACGATCGTTTGTAAGCCAGAAACGGTCATTCTAATCTCCCTTATAATAGTTGGTATCGCCATCCCTACAAAATGTTAAAATCCCTTCGTGTTTTAGTTAGATTTTGTCTACTGATAGTGTGTTTCTGCCAAAACCACTTAGTTAGGCAGACCAAAGTAAACACTAATTTCATGCAAAAGTCGAAACGAAGATCTGTTTAAATCATACAAATAAGCGTTGAAAATCTTTGACGATATTTACCACATTCATTTGCCTATCGGTGCCCTTTTACGTTGCTTATTTTTGGATTGCGTCTCTACGCCTTGTAGTACGACCAAACTAAAAAACCTTGCTTATATTTTTCTATTCTGTTCAAGCTTTCTCTGTCGACTCGATTACTTTGCCCTGTTTATGGCAAGGTCTTAATGGAACGTTCCGTTTCCCTGTCCAGACACCAGTCAGTTTACCACGTGATCTGTATATTTATTCTCAGCGTGAGAGGCCGCAAATGTCATTTCCGAGCTCCATTGTCACTTTTTATCATTCCGTACTGTTAATGAGGATACTCCCTCTTTTTCTTAGCCAAACCTATAGCTATCCGAAACATTATTCTCGTGAGCACTTCACCAATCACTTAAGATGTCTTTAGTAAGAAATGGCCAACGCACGCTAATGTGTGAACTAATTGCGTATAAACAGTTTTCCACAAGTTATAAAATTTAGAAATCTCTTACGAGTTTACCTATATTCCCAAAAACGGCAGCCCAAAGTGGATAAGTTAAGCATCAATTGTACAGTTAGGCAGGTTTCCACATCTCAGTTTCTTACCGCTTTTGAATAAAAATCCCTAAAGTCAGAAATACAGTTTATGGGTCATTGCTGTAAGAGCAATGCGCTCAACCACTGTCGGTGTTTCTGTGATAATATCAGGCACGTTTTAGACCGCGTGAACTCTTTTTGATAAGCTGTAAGTGAATTTTTGCTAGAAATTTCCCTCTGCTTGTATTATTACATAACGATTGACGCAAAGCAAGTCAAAACTTGTGCATTTGCTTTTGCGGCCTGATATCCCTCGCCAGGACCGGGCTCGTATAATTATTTATAGCAGTTTTTTCGAACACCTCTGCTGCCGATCGATCACCAGAGTTCCTCTTGTACCTTTAGGCTCACAAGTAGAACCCATATTAAGTCCATTCATCAAGAATGTTTTGTCAGGAGGACTATGGGCTTCTTCGGCAGACATAAATTGGTGACTTCGAATTTTTTTATGGTGCCTTTGGCGTCATGCAGTCCAGGTGTCATGACATCCATTATAATTGGTCAATATTACAGGACATTCTACATCTCCGAAAGATCCGGAGATACCTTACGCATCCACGGAATATAGGGATGAAGCTTTAACCCTACGAGGTAGACGTGCACAAACTTCATAAAACATGGGGAATATTGGGCACGGAAGTTCATAAATCTGTTAGGAGGTTTTGTTTTCCCGTACTTGTCTTTACACTACTTTAAGCAGAGCCGAAATACACTGAACTTTATTGAACGAGACCCTAGAGTAGAAAATGGGGACGTCAGGTTTTTGAAAAATACGCGGAATCAACAACCCTACTGAACGATTAAGAGGTGCCAAATGATCTTTACTAACTCAGGCGCACTTAAAGTCCGCATTTACTACTGACTCAAGTCCATCTAACGTGTTTCTTCCGAGTTCAGTCTCCTTCAGTATGGTCGGTTTGCTGAATCTTAAGTTCTCCTTATAAACGATTAGGAGAAAAAGAACCGTTATCCCGACCGCAAACAACAGTCACTAGGTCTTTTGGTCTCCTTTTGCCCAGTTTTTCAAAGAGAAGCTATCCTTTACTGGGTTTTCTGCATCATCTCGATAATCTTACATTGGAATATATTTGCAAAATTTTGCCCGTAGTGGGATACTTTCTCCCACAATGGTGACAGACGCTTATGGGCGTTTGCTGAGGGTTTTTCCGGATTATACGGGTTTTTAAATGCATGCATTATCTAGGATGTGGGTCACTTTGGCGAGCTGCCATTCGCCTCATATACCTCGTCTGATGACACCGTCTGCCCAAGTCACATCCACCACTATATGGGGCTGCTCTGGACACAGTAACGAGGCAGGATATGTCCCTCTCCAGAGGAGGAAGAGGAGGAGGAGGAGGAGGAGGAGGAGGAGGAGGAGAGGGAGGAGGAGGTCATGTTATTACAAGCGTAGGCTGGTGATAAGTTGGCTATTGCACCGAAGTCTGTGAAAAGTGGGTGATACCAGTGTTACGCCCGTCTCTCCCTCTCGCTCTGTGATTCGCTTAATGTTGAGCCCACCGCTGATCATTAATCCATCCAATTTTCTCTTCAATACTGAAGTTTATAACTGTGAGTGCTTTAGGGCTGCGAAAATCTCCGTAGCAGTATTCAAAAAATGAGTTGGCGAGTTTATGTTTACTTTCGATTTATTCTCCTTAGGCCAGTATATTTAGATAAAAAGGCGATACAGCCAAACATATCAGTGTCTGTAAAATTGATAAAAGTTAGTTTAAAAAACACAGGCGGGGTGAGAGTGAAGGGGCAGGGAAAGTTGCATGTAATTAGTCCACCTTTGACCAGGGTGAGCGCAGAGCCCAAACGAGGTTCCTCTGCGCGCATAGGGTCGCTTGTCGTAAGCTGATTGCGACCGCTTCTGCTGTCGCCAACAGACGCTGGGCCAGTAGTTTAGGATGGCCCGAGGGGACCTTATAAATCACACGAAAAGCTTCGCTAGGGTCCACACGATGTTTTGAATCAACTGCACGCGCAAGAATGACATTACTTATGCTCCTAATTTCGCCTTTCTCCAACTATGTGTGGAGATGTTCTCGTAAGCTTTTTGATAGACGCCGACTCGTAAAACCAATTAACCTGCTCCACAGGAGCAAGTGAAAGAATAGATGCACACTGAGGTGGTCTGAGTTGGCAACCTATTCTCACGTCCGCGTGAAATAGGGTTCGTAAACAATAATATTCTAATCCCTGCTGCCGGGAATGTTCGCGAGACAGCCTCATCATGGCGTCTTCTTAGGAGTTCCTTCACAGAATCTCCTTGAAAAGAACTTTGAGGAACAAACTTTTCTTCCTGGCCGTCAGTATGGTGGGGTTTATCGGTCGTTCGCAGCATTATTTGTAATAAACCTGTCAGGACACCCGTTTTTGCAAAGCAAACCCTGCATTTCTCAAAGCTCCTCCTTGATGCTGTCTGTTGAACACATTATTCTAGCTCTTTGTGTCAAACATCGGATTTCGACAGTTTCGCACTCCTTCAACAACAAAGAAATCTAGTCCGGTGTTTGGCACGATAAGCTATGAAAATGCGTTCAACGCACAGCATCAAGGAGGTCCCCTCGAGCCATCCCAAGTTACTGGCCCAACGTCTGTTGGCAACAGCAGAAGCGGTCGCAATCAGCTTACGAAAAGTGACCCTATGCGTGCAGAGGAACGTCATTCAGGCTCCACGCTTACCGTGGTCAAAGGTTGATTAACCACATTTAACCTTCCGTGCCCTTTCTCTCTCGCCCCGCCTGTGTTTTAAAACTAACTTTTATCGACTTTTTAATCACTGAGATTAGGTTAGCAGATGTAAGAGATCCGGGCCGATAATCTAAGAAATGTGGGTGGCTCACCGGATCAGGGGAATTGTGTAGCAGACGTTTCAGAGGGCTTGGCTGGCTCTCCATTATGAAAGCGTTTTTTGTGAAAATCGACCAGAATTTCAAATAAACGATTGAATTGGTTGACCTTGAGCTGATCGATCTTCTCTTCTTTCGCTACTTTTGCCTTCTGGCCGTTTTCGATGAATGTTGGCGGCCTCCTGCGCTGTGTGTAGTCACCTCAATGGAGTTCGGTTGCACCTGTACTCTCCTTTTGAGTAAATTAGTCGACGGGCCGTTCTTGCTCGGTATTTCTAGATTCCGTATGACTATCTTGTCCTGGTCATGACGTATGTATCGAAGTAGGAATTTATGGGCTACAGGAAGGTCTAGATGCCTGTTGATGGAATTGGCATCTGAGTACCAAGTCTTGAGTGTAAGAAGTTTTGCCCTTGAGATGGTCCGGCTTAAGACGGTTGCTCCTTAAAATTCAAAACTGTAACCAGTTTCTCCGATGTGAGTTGCAAGCTGTGAGCTCGAGTTTAGTCTTCGAGTTACCAGTTTGTGCTCATGTAGACGCGTCTACAATTTCGTCCGGTTTCCCCAACTATTTGCAGTCTCCATTGTTACAGCCGATTTGGTAGTCAACTGCTGAGGTTTCAGTGGGCAGCAGTGTCTTTTGGTTGCATCGGACGGCGACGAATTGTTGTCAAGGGTCGATGGGCAACGTCTACTCTGGCGGGTTGTAATAGTCATGAAACCGCCTCGGAGACGCCCTTAATGTAAGGAATAGTCCTCCAGACATCGGGTTGTTCTTCATATGGCCGTCGTCTGCTCACTCGGTACTTTGCTTAATTAAAATAGCTTTTTTATCCATTGGTCTGGAAGAGGTCGTGAAGAAATTGTCGTGCAGCCCTTTTATCGGTTGGTATGCTGTAGTGTGTTTCAACCCCTTTGGGATTGAGTACGGACGCAGCTGAGTTAGTGAGAGGGGATGATCGCTATTGAGGTATAATATTTGTCTTGCTTTGGTGGCTTTTCTGAAAACGGTAGTTTTCAGTTGCCCACTTGCACACCGGCGCACAACAGCCTCGAGGAAGGGGAGTTGGTCGTTAGTTTCGGCTTCCATTGCGGATTGGATATTCGGGTCAACTGAGTCCAGTAATTCTTTAAGGCGCTCCGCATCAGAGGATTTGACGATGTCGAAGCTGTCACCGACGTAACAAAGTCAGTACTGGCAGAATGGTATTACCGACAAAGACAAGGGAGACTGGAATGGCCATTTCTGACTTATTAGCCGTCGTCAGCTAGCCATACCCAAGCCCGAAGTGTGGAACACCCTAGCCTCGAACTCGCGACCTGTTGGTTTAGAAGTCCACGCCTATACTCACCGGGCCACGAGCCCGTTGCCTTGTCGGTTTTCGATCGTCGGTAATACCATTCTGCCTATATATCATGCGCCGCTGTGCGTCTGCTGGTTGGGCTCGAGAGAGAGTCCATAAGGCACAACGGAACGAGTGAGTTCCGTATGAACGATCGGTGAGCGCCCCCTACCACTGAAGTCAGTACTCTTTGGTTGATACTTAGTGAACACCAAGTGTTTTACTCGTTGAAGGACCACTTCAGCAATCAGCCTGACATAGGGGAGTCCATGTGGGTACCTTTGATCTGTTCATACATTTGTTCACCAAAGGTGAAATATGTTTCTAGACAACAGCGTAAGTGCCCGATCAGATTTTTGGACTTCAGGAGATTGTCCTCTCGTTGTCGCGATCAGCCAGGAGTTGTCTCACAACTTCAGTCGCTAGTTTTTTTGGAATGTAGTTGAAGAGTAAAACGACATCAGAGAATACCACGGATTCATCTGGCTCGAAGTTTAGATGCTTTAAACGTTCGTTTTGCTTTCGAAAAATTTCGTTTGACTGTACCCCTTCTCATATTATTGTATTGGCCTGAAGATAATTTATCGAAAGCAAACGTGTGCTCGCCAGCTCGTCTTCTTCGGACTGAAACCAATTCTAGTAAGTAGTCAGCCTTACTTTAGTCGACTTCACGGCAGTCGCGGTTGTGTCAGAATGCGGTTTTACGACAAAGGTACTGTTGCTGGGATTTACGCAATATGACGAGATCTATCTAATGTCCACTTGCCCCTGCGCAGTAGAATTAGCCTGAACCACCTAGTTCTGTCACAGTGTGACCGAGAAAGTGTAATCGAAAAGAGTACATTCTTCTGAATTTTGACTTTATATTTTTGTCGAAGAGAATGTTGACAATCAGCCTGATTACCGAAGAATTGGTAATCTGCAGCAGCTTGCGAAATAATAGCATAGTTGGCATGGAGATTTTTCGGAGAAATTGACCTCTTACATTCTTAGATTAATTAATCCTTTCTGGCCGCGCAGTTAACTAAGGCATTTTCCCGTTTGAAAGCTGTTAATTTTAAATTGGTGTGGAGTCGGAAGCGATTTGTAACGTGCGAGTGCACTCATGATTAAGCAAAATTTAAGGAAACTGTATAGAAAAGGATCCCACTTAACTGTCAGTAGACTGGATCGTGCCATACGTGATTCATGGTAAAGGGAATTTTAGGGGTGGGGCATCACGCAGGCGATAAGCTGGTGAAATGGAAAAAACACAGAAACTGCCTGGACTGATGACAGAAATCTTATTCTACGCTATTGTACGACGACAGAAATAAGAGTAGTAATCAAGCAATAAACAAAAAGTAAACTTCACAAAATAAAGGATTTTGAGTTAAGGTGTGAGGTTGTGGGATGTAATCGTTGTTGGCAGCGTAATTTCCGTAACAGCCTGAAAATGCATGCCAAGAGTAAACCCCACATGACAGGATCCACAGTCTACCGACAGGTAAATGGGTTCCTTCTCAGTACCGTTGCCAAAGTTATATTCTGACATACCACACCGGATCTGCTTACCGTGCATGTTGCGCGGTCGATTGAACGCGCGGAATTCGCTTGACTCTTCGTTTATTTCCAAGCCCTATGAGAATACGTAGTTAATGAAAAACGTTGATTGTTATGACCAATAACTTTTATTATTTCAACGCATTTCATTTGGGTCGTTTTCTTTTTTTCCTCATTGCGAAAGGACCAGGAAGAATACGTTCCAGAAATATACAAGGTAATATGAGGATTCGCGTTATACATATACATGTTTATGTTCCAAATTTCGTTGCCTTTCCCGAAAAACTTATTTCTTTCAAATATTGCTTCTTGTGATGCCCATTTTTAAATTTATGCATATATGTGTATACGTAGAACAAGATTTTCGACAAAGACGGAGATAACTGCGTGCCCATTTCTGGTTTATTAGCCGCCATCAGCCAGCTATACCCAACCCCAGGTTTTGTAGCTTCTGATGCCTGATCCCACAGTCTGGCGTTAGACTCCCGACGCCCTACACTGAGCCCAAGGCTCATTGTCCTACGGGTTGCGATTGAGTATATAATACAATGCTAGAGGGGCACTCACGGTTCGCGTGACGAGACACGCTCATCCTGCATTACGATTTGAGGCTCACTCTCGAACCCCGTCAGCGGCCTCACAGCGGCTAGTAGTGTAGGCAGAAGAACATTGCCAACAAGGACAAGGGAGACTGGAGTGACCAGTTATAGCTTATTAGCCGTCATCAGCCAGTTGTAACCAACCCCAGGTATTGGGATCGTCTGTGGCATGAAACCCGCGTGGTTTCCTGGTACGATAACTCGAGAGGATACTCAAGGTACTCATTTCAGAGAGCCCTAGGAGACCCACTGAGGAGTCAAACCCCTCGTAGCTGCGTCACGCAGCAGCAGAAACATCGGTGAAACACGTGTCTGGACTTTCAGTTAGTACCTATGTTGGGAGTACGGCACAACCACCTATCACATGAAATTACACTTTTAATGATAATACTTGTTGATGGGATAGCATTACGTGGTTGTTTCACAGTATCCGATTATCTTGGGGTCAGGTGTTCATTGAAATTCCGGGTCTGACCCTGAAGTCATTTCCCGGACAATTAACTCGAAATTATAAATATGTACATTCAATCAGTAAAAGACACACTGATCTATTGGCTTCCTGAAGCAAACAGTCTCCATATGGGATGGAGAGAGTTCACGAACAACCAGCCAACTGCCAGACCGAAGTCAGTCAATTTACAGTAGCAGAGAAGAGGAACGACAGAAAATGTGTTTCGGGCTTATTCTGCCTTCGTTCAGCCAATCATTGCCCTGACCATCGGGTGAGACCAGAAACACAAATATCTCTTCGTACACATGGTAGATGGTCCAGAGCAGCAATGCTTTCCCACCTGTGAATTGATATTTATGTCATTAGTGATAGGTATACACCGATCTACTAGCTTACCGAAGCAAACAAGCTTTGTATGGGCGGAAAATGTCACGAACAAGCAACCAACTATCAGACCGAATTTGGATAAGTAAAAATAACGGAGAGTAGGCACGACAGAGAATGCGCGTACGGAAAGTGTCGATCTGCCGGTTCATATAATGTTTCTAGATGTATGACTATTCATTTATAATAGGGACTTATTATTTTTGACCTCTAGGACTGAGTACGAATGTACAAGCTGAAACATTTTATCGCTACCTTTACCGCTCGCCCGTGGCGCGGCTGCCCACGTCGCAAGGCGCCAACACTAGACTTTGGGCCGAACTGATCCGTATGAGACTGATTTGCAAGAACAGACAGAGTGGTGTGACGCTACTCGACTGGGTGTCGTACAGCCCAGATGCTTTAAATATTCCAGTATATTGTCCACACTCAAAGAGAGAAGCAAACTCATCGCCCTGTTTTTCCTGCAGAAAGACAGTGATTACTGTTCTAATAGCTTGTCAGTTGACTGAGCGACTGTCATTTTTTTCCTGAAAATGTTATGAATATTGCTCCAGAAAGTGACTGTCTACCCACCTTAACTCCTTTAAAGATGAGAATGACAAAACTCCTTAATGACCTTCGCGAAGAACATCCGGAACTGGTTCCACAGCAAAGTACGTTTTGCCAAGCAGTTTCGTGAGTGGTAGCGTGATGCTTTCGCCCATCAACTTTTTTTCCTTCTGACATCTTTCGTCAGTGAAAGCGTTTAGTCTGCGCATTTACATGTCAGTTCAAGCACCAAAATGTATTTTTCTAAAGGGCAGGCACAATTGCGTAATTAATTCCTGCCATTGCTGTAAGCATCTTGATTTTGAACTGTCGTTGCGGCCTATATGGTTTAATAGA